CTACAAAGCCATGGTAAACAATCCTAGCGATATTAGAAGAATTTTACAGATGATCCGAAGTCATATTTGGATAAAACTATTCCAGGTGACAAAGGCGGTCGAAATGCTGCTGAGGGAAAGAGACAGAACGAGCATTTCTTGGACTCGAAAGAGAGGATGAGGTTGACTTACATGGGTTGCACTACGGTGTAGCCGCGCTCCCTGATGACTTAACGTGGAAACCAAAGACAATAAACAGTAAGGTCTGGAGGGGTATTCACCAAAAGGTTTCATACTATGTAGATAATGCAACTTGTAGACACCTGCCTCGGTCCATGGGGCGCCAAATTAGGAGAATGAAATCAAATTCAAACATCCAGCGAAAAGAATTCGATGACTGTACACCTAAATGAAGAGTGTTCTCTATTGTAGTTTTAGATTGAGCGTTTAGAATCCGCATGTAAAGCCGGCAAAGACGAATTCTTCACCTTCCAGTGGTGCCGGTGTAATCGCTCAGTATGCTCTGTATATCTGGGACAGCCAAGAAGAATCGCATCCAAATTGAAGTCGAAATCAACCTCAAGCACATCTCCATTTGACGACTTCTCGAAAATGCCTCTCTTACCATTCTCATCTGAGTCCTCAACCTCTTTCTAACCACGTATCATCTCGCCTTAACGACAGGTAAAGGAGTTGCTTCAATTGCAAACAGGAGCTAGCCCCATTAATTTCCAGCCATCTCTCACTACATATTTACGACGCTATTTATACCCCCAAGGAGGAAATCAAGTCTAAAGATATAAAGCCTGGGTCTGGCTTATGGAGGACAATTGCTCTAATGGGACAAACAACTTGAGGGAGAACAGGCGGCTGAGATGTGGAGCGAGAGTGGGTGCAAGGTGCTGAAGATCATGGTGGGGTTGATATTTTCGAGAATTTTCAACTGTGGATGTTTTATGGGTGCCAAGACCAAGATTTCGGCTAATTAGGCAGGAGAACTTCTTTTGTGGATAAGTCAACGGCACTACCCAGAGCCCCGGACGGCACAAAAGACGTTGGGCTAATCTACCATACAGCAATCACGCTCTGTCAAGACTTTTCTGACATTTCAGCACGATCTTCGGGAAGCAGTTGGGAAGAGGCTAGAAAGTTAGAGAGTGATTTCTCCGAGGCACACACAAGTCCGCAGCGCCTAGCTAGCCGGCCTCTTCGGACTTAGTCCTAATGTTGGTATGAGAAGAGACCCGTACCCAGTGGCTTTTGCGATTTTTCCCGGCTGCCATACACCCGCAAATGGCCATCGTTTCGTTGGCTGGAGATGGGATATAATGAAGGACAAAGGAGTTTCTAAGTGTATGATTGTATAAGGACTTGTGAGGGGTGGTACTATTTGAGAGGAGCTATATGGGAGATATAAGAGGGGATATAGTACTAGATATGTATCCTCGGCCTGTAGGGAGAGAGGACCTGCATGTCCTACATAATCATATACTCAGACAGGATAATAAAATGAATTAAAATAAAAAAATCCGCATGTTAAAATATATCCCGGAGTTAATAAGACGCACGAGCATAGAAAAACATCATTTTTGCCATAAAGCTGCGCAGCGTTCCACGCTGCCCATATCATCAATTTGACATCGTGATTATTATTTTTACATCTTCATTACCCTCCTTTCACCTTTTCGATTTCCGTGCTCCTACACGGTGAGTGTGGGTGCTGGTGTGGGTAAATCCAGCGGTTTCGACGCGTCGCAAAATGTGACAACGGTATCATCAAACAACGGCAGCGGAGCGCAGATAGCTCCAAAGGATCCTAACTTGGAAATAATAGGGAAACTATTAAAAAAGGCCAGACTAATTGTGATGAGAGATATGGATGAGGAGGACCTACCAACAATGGAAGACGTAAATGAAGCCGTCAAGGCATTTAATTATCACAAAAAGGCTTGGACAACGATGTCCTAGATCCCATCTCCGATCGAGGAGAGGATGATAGCATTGGAGGAGGTGGTAAAGAAAAGCATCGCGGATGCCGCGCGATAGGCAGCTCCTGTTGTGTCGTTTGGGAAGCCGCTACCAAGGACCTACGCGTCGGTCGTAGCTCCGCAAATGGCGAAAACGGCGGTCAGAATAAGAATCGATGGCGCACAAAACTTGCAGCCTCAAGAGCTGCTAACAAAGGCACAACATCATATTCAAGGCGCATACGCGATTCGCCAAATGCGTAGCAATGACACTGCGGTGCTCGTCCAGTCGGTGTCCCAGAGAGACGCGACGCTCAACATGCGCCAACCCAACGAATTTAAGATCCTACGGCAAGATTTTCCCGTCGAGATTTCTGGTGTCCCTTTGCGGTCTCGAATTGAGGGTGGCAGAGATGCCCAAAGCCACGCTTTCATCAGGGAGATTGAGATAGCAACTAAGGCTCGAATTCCCGGCCTAGTGATTAATCGAATCAGGTGGCTACACGATGGAAAGGAGCACCATCGATCGAAGAAAATCGGTCGCAATCGAGGATCAATTGTGGTCAGCCTCCCATCAGAGGCAATGCAAACGGAGGTAGTCCGAAAGAGGCTTGTAATTAATACCATGCTCTTTACCGCGCAGATGTGGTCACCACGAGCCCAGCCGAAGCAGTGTTATAACTGTAGCCAGTGGGGACACACGCAGGCGTCGTGTGGAAAGGCAGCTAGGTGCGGTGAGTGCGCTGGCGCTCACCAAACTCGGGCCTGTCCGAGGAAAAGGGTTTCTTGTGCGAACTGCGACAAGGAGCACCGTTCGTGGTAGAAAGCAGCGTGTCAGACCTACCAGGTCTACAAGGAAAGTATGGAGAAGGCTCGGATGGAGCTGTTATCGAGAACGGCAGATATATGAAACAAAAGACCTACGGTGGCGCCAATGCGAACAGTCGGAACGACTGATGATCAGGGATTCACTTTTGTCACCAGTAAAAAGGCCGAAGGACTCAAAAGAGGGCTGGGACGACCACGCAAGGTAGTCGAAGCCCCAGCGGCACCAACCATCGCCTCGACAGCAGCACCATCTTCGGGGCCAACTCTTCGAACACTTCGAAGACCAACGCCGAGTGAGGAGGTGCCTTCTGTCTTTAATTTTTCATAACGTTAGTCTGATCGAAGGGGGAGTTAACGAAATCTGGGGAAAGTATATAAATTTGTGGTTGAAAGGAACGTCCTCAGCATTAAGCCGGGTCGGTTCAGAGTGGCAGGACATCGGGTTTAGTTTGTTGAAAGCTTTTTCCCTTCCTAACATGGCTTACCGTCTTCATGGTTCTGTATATAGATACCGCATAGGACGTTAAACTAGAACAATGAATGAATGAAGACGCACGAGCCTGATCTTTACAATTTAGGCCAAATATTATTACTTCGGCCTTACCTTTATAGAAGAACCTACCTATATCAGTATACTTTTAACAGTAGTGTAAACGTTATTGGCTCAATCTTGTATAACAACTAAATCACTAAGGTGTTCTATTAGGTTCAACCAGAACGACCGCCCTTCTTATGTGTATGTATGCACGGATCACCTTGGATGCCTACATAACTCCCAGTCATTATATACTACATGACTGCATAACTAGAGCTGACTATACTTAAATATGCATCCGCGCACAAGTAGGAATTATTTGCTGCATAGATTTCAGGTGACATTATCAACATCACCACGGCTGAATGGTGCAGTGGTTTATCGTTTTGATCGGTCCACCAAGTAGAGTTTGGATAGCTTGAACACATGTCCCACTTGAGACAGTAGAACGCTGGTTCAAATCCGGCAAATCACAATCACATTTCTCGTGGCATTGACGTATATGGATGACGAAGGCATGCTTGTAAAATCAAAGGTTTTAAATTACACTTTGGTGGGTACTTAAGGAGGAGGGTCAATAATTTGTGTAAGCGAACGTACCTCGTAGTGGTTTTTGCAAATAAAATCCAGAGTGGGAGAGAGAGAGGTGTAATTATTGTACTACTTGAGTCTATGACTATCTAGCGCGTTGGGCTCCTCTCTGGCCCTGGCCACACCTTTCAAAGTGCTCCTTGCCTCTTTTTTTACTTGAAAGATCATTGATATATTGCCCGTGATGAATAGCCATTCAGTTCCGTATTTACCCGTGGAATTCGGCCACCTTCTCCACGGAACTTTCTGCCCCAAAAAAAATTTAAAATGGTAGCAATGGAAACTGCGTACGCGGGAAAAAGTCTCAAAACACCTGCAGCCCCAGCCAGGCGAGGCCTACATACCGGGACCATATGAAGTGCGCATATTCATCTATATCTCCCTTCTTTGTAACAGTTGAGGTCTATGTGATCCAATCCACCATCTCTGTATCGGGTGCTGGGTACGCTCCGGAAACTCATCGGATGGCTTTTCCTCCATGATCAAGGGTTAGAAATGAGTAGGGCTCCAACCCTACCATCTGATCTGATCGTGGTTAGCTTCTTGATAATGGTGATAGGGGAATGTGTTGAGAGATGAAGACGATAAAAACGGCAAAAGCAATTGGGGAATCCTTGTCAGAGTGAGGACTTTGTTACTCAATCTCGTCTCTGCAGACTCTACAATTAGAGCTGGAGGTTCGTAGGGGACACCACTGACAGGTGTTGAGAATAGTTCCCATAAAAAATCCAGATTATGAGTGTGTCTAACGTCAAAAGAATCATCCTACAAGTATACATAGCACCGATCATGTGTCATAGCTAAATAGCTAAGTACGCAATAAATGATTTAAAAACTATATTTGCTGGATGTTTGTGGTGATTCCGGAGACCCAGAGACATGGATGATTATTTAAAGCGTTGGTACATATTGATGCTGATAGCTCACATTGCAGCCGCAGAATGCTTGGCACAGCATTTATTTACTCCAACAGGACCACCGACTTATTTTTTAGTACCCAAACATCAAAACGCGTGTCAACATACCGCCTATAAAATTCAAAATTTTGAAGTTTCAAAAATTCATACCAAGTCACGTAGAAGAAACTTACAGAGCATCCCATGAGCGAAACACCCCGTCTACGGTCCTCTTATCCTCCAAGTCCAGGAAGCAATGCAAAAACTACAAATGTGCTTGCCGATAGCGACAAGGTTAAACCTCTGCTTCCAGAACTACCAGATGCATCAAAAGTTATAACCACTAGCTCACCAGTGATACCAGTGCATCTTATTGATGCTCCAAGTCAGCGCATGTACACATCTGTGGTTTACATAGCTTTGCTGGCGTACCGTCTTTCTGACTGGTGGTCCATAATAGAAGAAGATACGACTTCAATTGCTCTTTTTGTCAAATGGTGCTTCATAGATCTAATATTTCTGTTTGGTATACCATTCCTTCGGATACCTTGGCTAGAATGGTCAGACACTACATCTGTTCTAGCTTGTCTGGTTCACATATTCATCAATGGGATATTAATGTTCCGTATTCAAGTGAGTTTTCAGACCATGAAGAATCTATAATTGCTAAAAAATTAAGCTTCCTATTGAAGGGTGGTTAGTTATTCTTGTAAAATCAGTCTTCGATCGTGAGATTTCTATTTCGGAAAGTAGCATTCGGCCATCAAATATATTACACAACACATCACTCATTATGGGAAAACAAATCATAAACATACTCCCAGAAGGGTACGAAGCGACGTGTCTACTGAATCTTCAAATCTAACAATCTTCCAGGTCCGCCGTGATGAACCCTGATCAATCACCATTTTGTATAGACGCTAACCATCCAACTGCAAGTATACCAATTTATTTTAATCAGACAATACCTAAAAATATAGAACTTCTTAGGATTGACTTCGAAACAAATTTGAATGAGACAATAAAACTCTCACAGAGAGAAGTAAAAAACTCAATAAAACAGTATGACGAAAATGTCCTTTCTATACACTACTTGGCTAAAAAACCTGGGCTATATCGTCTGTATAAAATCACTGATAAATCAAAGCTAGAAGTTCAGCGGAGAATGTCGGACACATTAGTGGTCCGGTGTCCACGAGCGATCATAAAATCTACCTTCAGCGATAAATGTCTTGGTGATCTCTCTGACATCAATATTGAAATAGAGGGTACACCGCCTTTGAGGGTTATGTATAGCCGCACGGCAAATGGCGATAAGAGTATACATCATTTCCAAAGTATACAACCTGAAAACTTTGACTCACCCCTCATCAATGTACAGGATAATAACTTAGGGTCTCAATCTGGGACTAATATCTCTTGGGGAAAACCTCATCATATCACTGTTCCTCTCAACGAAACTATGATGACCGCTGGAATGTGGACTTATTCTATTGATCAGATCCACGATGCTGTTGGAAATATTGCCAACTTTTCCAACGGACAAGGCGATGATGTAGAGCTTGTCTATTCTAAAGGCATTCAATTACAACAAGAATTCACTGTTCGTGAACGGCCTGTGGCTTACCTTCAACAATGTGACTCCCGGAAACCTTTGATGGTCGCTACTGGAGAATCAAAGGAGATGCCAATCGAATATGAGACAGCCCCCCTTAAAAACCTCGAGAAACAGATCACCGATACATCTCATGTAATAACTTGGAAATTTTCTCCGCTACATACTTTGACAAAAACTGGTGATCATGGAGACGATCTCATCGTTCAAGAATACTTTGCTAAATCATCTCGCCAACATCCAACAATACATGAAACCGGACTTTATACTCTCGTTGGAGTTAGAAGCAAATACTGCGAGGGCACTGTAAAAGAGCCATCTTCTTGTTTACTTCTCAACCCTCCTGAGCCTGAACTGGCTATACAGGCTGAAGGAATCAGCGATAATTGTGCCGGAAATTCGATTGGTTTACTTGTTGATTTAGATCTCATTGGATCACCACCATTTATCGTAACTTATGAAGTGACTAGTCACACTGGCACCTCTACGAATTACGTAGAAGTAAGTGGCCTTCGACACCAACTAGAATTAAAACCAACGAACGCTGGTCATTTTAAATATCAATTTGTATCAATCGACGACCAGGTGTATAAAAAACGTAGTTTACGAAATAAAGGATTAGTTCTGGAACAGGATGTCAAACCACCTGCATCTGCTGAATTAATCATACCAAAGGCTACCATAGATGCTTGTGTTGAAGAGCCTATCGAAATGAAAGTCAGACTATCAGGCGAGAGCCCATTTATTTTAGAGTATGAGATGATACATGATGGGAAAAGAAAGAAATCAAGAGTTTTGGACATTGAACCATCCATCTATACTATTAAGACAGAGCCATTACTTAAAGGGGGAGAATATACTTTAGCCATTACGAGTGTTCAGGACCTTACTGGCTGCAAAATTTTTGTAAACAGTGAAGCAAGATTTACCGTTCGACGTCAACGACCAAAAGCTGCTTTTGGCAGAGTAGACGGGGGCTTTAAAATTATTTCAGTTGAAGGAAAAGATGTCGAAATTCCCCTTCGCCTAACCGGACAAGCACCTTGGACTCTTAAATATCGATTAAGTGGGGGCTCGACCAACAAAACAATGGAGAAAATAGCAACCTCAACTAACGATGTGATCAAAATTAACCAGGGAGGTAAAATTGAAATTATAGGAGTCTCAGATGATCAGTGTCCTGGAAATGTAGATTCTGCAGCATCTACATTTGAAGTAGATTGGTTTCCAAGACCTCGATTAGCTCTCTCAGACTCTAATTCTATTGTTTTAGATGGAAACAAATATACTAAGCGTGAAGTTTGTGAGGGAGATGTTGACACAATTAAAGCTAACCTTATTGGTAAGTTCATTCGCTATACTAAATTATATACGCTAAAATCTCTAAAGGATCTCCTCCTTTCAATGTTAAGTATCAAGTTCGTCAAGCATCCTTACCAGGCTCAGATATCATTATAAATAAAGAATTTGAGGCTGCCCTCGGATCTGTAATCATTTCACTTGATACTAGTAAAGCCGGAACATACGAGTACAAATTCTTAGAGCTTTCTGATGCGTTATACGACCATGATGAGCGGCGGTTTAGCCCAATTATTCTTGAACAAAAAGTGAACCGAAAACCCGCAGCGCACTTCACCCAACCAGGACAGTCTTACAAATACTGCGAGGAAGAGCTTGACGGCGATGAAATTATACCCATTAAACTTGAAGGGATTCCCCCTTTTAGCATTGAGGTAGATATCAAACACCAGAGAAGTTCACGTCCAGAAACGGTGAAGGTTGCAAATATAGAGACAAATGAATATGAGTTTAAGATTCCTCACCGTGTTCTCTCTCTCGGAATCCATCACGTTAATATCAGGAAAGTACGAGACTCGCGTGGATGTCAGCAAAAGACAGACCATGGCGCGCCTCATGTTCAGGTACAAGTATATGATACTCCTACCATTCATCCCCTAGACTCTCGTGAAGATTTTTGTGTTGGCGAACGAATTTCTTACACTCTGTCGGGCGTTGCACCCTTTGAAGTATTTTACGAGTTTGAGGGAATACAACGAAGAGCTAAAGCCACAGGAACTACATTCAAGCGTTTCGCTGAAAAGCCTGGTATTTTTACAATTACTGGTGTGACGGATAAGGCTAGTGAATGCAAAGCGCATACAAGGGTCCGAAAAATAATACACGCTATGCCTAGTGTCAAAATAAGTAAAGGTCGACAAATAGAGGTTGACATTCATGAGGGTGCAGAAGCTGAAATACAGTTTGAATTTTGGGGAACTCCACCCTTTGAATTTACGTACACAAGAAGCACAAACGCTCGCAAAGGGCACAAGTCACAGGTTTTAGAGACTAGGCATGAAGTTTCTGACGAGTACAGCAAAAATATACGATCATCTCAGGAAGGAACATATGAGGTAGTGGCAATCAGAGACAAATACTGCTCTTTCTCTATTCAAAAAGATGAACATAAATACATATAGATCCATCTGTGAAAGATGAAATTCTATTCAATATATGTATGTTCTAAATTACAGCATGGCGTTTGGTTTAATAGCTAGGGGTATCTACTATGTTAATAGAATTAATTTTCAGTAAATCTACATTTGACGAGTATGAATTCATTTTAAGTAACCAGATGTTCCAAATTTCTGCGTGAAGCCTACTTCAATTAAAACATTTCGTATGTAGCGGTCCGAGTAATAGGTGTTGGAACAACTATTTGGTCAATTGCTTTAAGCAGTAATTCAAAGGAAATATACCAATAAGCTCTATATTAACATAAATGTACCTGACGGCCTCTTTTTTTTGCATCAGATTTTAATTGCGTATGCAGCTATCTAGCTATGACACAATATCAAAGAAATGTACAGAATAGATAATTCGACGTAAAGGAAGAGCACTCATGCCTCAGATTTCATTTGGAAGTACCACTGCGAAGTTATGGTGGCTTTTTCCTAACCCCAAGTCAACCCTCATCCATGAATACCCACCCAGGGGAACGTTTCAAAAACCCTGAGTTATCCAGACATGCCTCCATCATCTTTCAACTTTTCTCCGCGCGAAATGTGGTCTTAGGCATTTCCCTCCCAAGTGGAGTAGGTGCCCAGGCTACTCAAACCATACCAGAGAACACCACCAGGAGGCGGACCACGGCACCTTCCATCGTTTGCTTGTGTTTATAGTGTCAGCTGCACTCTCGCAAGCGAAGTCTTGGCGCACACAAAGCCCAGTTCGTAAAAATTCCTTGCCAAAACTCAGAATTTCACGCCCTTCGAGGTTACATCCTTCCTTTGCATCATCCTGTAAACTTATCCTAATCCCTCTCACGTCCATCCCAGAGGGCTGTCTCCCAGATTATGCGCCACGCTTTGCCTCCTCCGTCGGGTATAAATATCGGCGTGGGCGTGTATTTGGTGGTCAATTGAGGCCAGAGAAGGTCGGAGAGAGGTTTGGTCATTGGGAGGAGGATGTACTAGGTCGTACTTGTAGACTTGATGAGACTTGGGTAGGAGTCGAACTCGTTGGGAGCGAAAAAATGACATGGCGGAGTATTTTGAATCATCGCCTCGTGGGCCAACTTCTTTGATATTGCGAAATTTTACTGAACTTGGCTCTGGGAGAATGTTTCACTCCCAGGTTAGTAGAGGACACCGCGTACAGGTGTTCAGTCTTGCCCTCTCCAGGTCTAGCTCCTGCAGCACTATTAACGCCTTAAAGAAACATGTACTCAAACCGTAACAGATATACCCATCATGGTAGAGCCAGCTCTTATGGACGTTCTTGGTTCGTCATAAAGCCCAGATATTTGTACTAGCTGAGTCTATTTTATCGGCACCGAGATTCAACTGTCTCCTCAGAAAGTCTTCCAACGTATCGATTTAAAGTTACGAAAGTTAATTTTTGGTTTTTTTCGGTTATCGATATATGAGTCTCATTGTAGAAAGCTGAAAATTTTTCACAGCTGATTTAGCAAGTTTATGGGCATAGGCTGTCCAGATTTTCTCAAGATAGCTTGATAGAGGCGTAGAGAGGAAGACTGTAATTATCTTTAATCCATAATTGTTGAACTAACAGTAAACTTGAAATCGTGCCGCAAGAGACCCAAAAAATTGTCAATACTATCAAACGTAATTTGTAAAGAAATATACCCACTGATGAGGGAAACTTAGCAAAATACGTGTTGGTAGTCATATCAATACTTAATGTGAATCATTGACCAGTTACATTAATTATTGATTTAGAGCTAACAGATAGTTGCAAGGTGTGGTTACGATAATTGAAACTCTGCAGCCACCATAGCTGTACGCATCGATATAAAAGATCTTCTGAAATGTGACGCCTTGTAGACAAAAATTGTGCGACCAAAAATTATGAATTAAGCCTATTGATAACTGCGTACGATCATAAAATTAATTCGTCGACATGATGAAAAGGCTTGATAGAATTCCTTTCAGTCCTACTTACAGCCACAACGCCTTGAATATGCAATGTATGTTAAGCCGCACAATTTCCTGTAACTGAATAATGAGTACCGAGGCAATTGGCCAGCGGCCTACACCCTGACATTTCTAGACTCCTTTTCTACGAGCGTCACTAATTGTTTGTACACATCCTTAAACTCTTCATCACCCTCAATCTTCTCGCTCTTCTTTGTGCCAACCCTTGATTCAGAAACCATTACTACACTAGTTGGTCTTTTCGTGTTACCTGCCGACCCAAGCTCAGCGCGGCTAGTAACAAATATATATGGAACTTTGTGATCTTCGCAAAGTATTGGAATGTGAGATATAACATCCATTGGCGAGATATCTGCTGCAAGTACAACAACACCAGTCGCAGAAGTGGCATCAACACCTTGTGGAGATTTTCTTAACGCTTTAACAACCTCTTTGACGCCGCGCTTGAGTGTTTTATTTTTAGCAGCTGTAAAGATGACTTACTTAGCTTCTGTCTAGCTCCAACCGAATTTATAAGACATACCTTTTTTGACACTCTTGAGAACTTTCTTGGTGACTTTTTCATCTGCCAATGGATTTGCAAACGGAACTAGACTTCCAACTGGCTTCAAATCTAAGATCGCTTCTGATAAATTGGCATTTTCGGGCTTTGGGGATGGAGCATCAGGCAAGGTGTCTTTCACAGCCTCTTGAAATGCTACATTAATATTTTCCTCGGTGAGCTTTGGCTTTTTGTCTTTCTTCGCTTTTTTCACTCCATCTGTCTCGCTGCGTTTGGATTTTTTTTCCTTCTTATCGCGCTTTTCTGACTTATCTTTCCCCATGGTGTAATTAAAGTGGCACTTTTTTGAAATGTTTTGTCAGGCGACTGGTCGATTATCTTCAACATCTGAACACGGATTAAATATTATGCGGTAAAAATCGTGATTTGGATAAATTCATGACTGGGGGTAGATTTTAGCCGATTGAGCCACGCGTCGATCAAACTGACAGCCAAAATTCTACATACACACGACCGTAACCTGTCTACTACGGCGAAAAGCTATGTCGTCACAGCAAAGGTTGAAATCAGGTCTACATTAGACAAATGAAGATACAGCAGGAGTATGGCACCTCTTATTTGTGGCGGTAACGTCACTCATCGCAATTCTGTTCAGATCTTGTCAATGGACTGAAGTATGGACCCACTCAGCTTCACCATAATGTAAAATTTAAATATACTGTTTATAGAAAATGATAGCTTCAAACTTGTTGTCGATGTCCCTTACAAACTTCTAACTTTCGTACAAGAGTCTACTGAACTAAGTCTTAATCTAACTATATATAGCCAGCTTTCGATTATACGTCAGTCTAAGGCATCTCTATTATTCTAGGCGGCACGAAGAAACCTGGCTAGCCTTACTACACTACATACCCTATTTAGAGACTTTTACAGCTTTTAATTTTGACATGTGGATTTTTCCGAAGCGCTTGCAATATGAGATATCAAAAGGAATCAGCGAAGGCAGAGAGCGATTCTCTCAAGCACACATAAGACCAGAGCGCTAAACTGGGAAGACAAAGACTGAACACCTGTTCGTGGTGTCCTCTACGAACCTGGGAGTAAAATAATCTTCTAGAGCCAAGTTCAGTCAAAATTTCCATCTCAAAGAGATATATTCCTACCTAAGCCACATCAAGTCTACAAGTACTACTTAGTACATCCTCATTTCAACGATCTCACCTCTCATTGACTATTCTATAGTCTCAGCTAGCCACCAAAAACACGTCAACGTGGATATTTATACCCGACGGAGGAAGCAAAGCGTGGCGCACAAATCTGGGAGACAGCCCTTTGGGATGGACGTGAGAGGGATTAGGACAAGTTTACAGGATGATGCAAAGGAAGAATATAACCTCGAAGGGCGTGAAATTCTGAGTTTTGGCAAGGAATTTTTACGAATTGGGCTTTGTGTGCGCCAAGACTTCGCTTGCGAGAGTGCAGCTGACACTATAAACACAAGCAAACGATGGAAGGTGCCGTGGTCCGCCTCCTAGTGGTTATATCCGGTATAGTTTGAGTAGTCTGAGCACCTACTTAACTTGGGAAGAAGACGCTTGAGACCACATTTTGTGCGGAGAAAAGTCAGTGGATGATGGAGGCATGTCTGGATAATTCGGAATTTTTGAGACGTTTTCCTGGGTGGGTATTCACGGATGAGGGTTGACTTGGGGCGAAGACAAAGCCGCCATAACCTCTGAGTGATACTTGCAGACGAAATCCGAGGCATGAATGATCTCATATGAAATGGTGTCATCTGTTTTGTACTTTTTCTCTGATTTTGTGTTAAAGCCAGCTAGCTGCATACACGACTAAAATCTGAAGCAAAAATAGACTTTACAGTTAGAGCCGGAGGTTTGTAGGGGACAACACTGGCAGGTGGAAATATTAATCCTCCAGCTAACCTTGTATTAGTACATCTATCAGAGTAGAAATCTTTCAAGTTGAACTGTAATCCGAATCCAGTGTTCGAGTTCGATGCAGAGGTATCTACGGTGTTGGCGTTATTGGCGTTATTGGAAGAAATTGAACTTCTACCCTTAACCCTCTTCGCAATTGCTCTATAGTTATTCTTGGAAATTCAGAGTCGCTCGGCTCCGTCTTGCCAATCCAGTTTGTTTACGCTAGAGAACATTCAGCGAGTTATCCAGACAGGCATCTGCTCGGCCATGCTTTGTCCTTTATGTCCAAGACTCAGTACGGACTTTAATACTGTTCTACCTTGCCACGCCACACCCGGTTGCCACACATTACTGCAGGACAAGTTAGAACTTACTGTATTCTCAGCCCTTCTTGGATCCAATGAATTACAGAGGCAGACCAACCCTACAGAGAACCTAGTGGGTGAGCATATCGTCAAACTTCTCCCTTACTCTCAACTACACTATTAAACGCCTCGAGATAAAAAGCAACGATGCCATGAAATAATACCGGGCACAACCTATACATCAGTCCAGTACATACCTGGTCATCAGTAACCTTTTCCTTCCACCACCAGAACTTTAAATGCGCCTTCTCAACTAATCATGCAAGCTACCGAAAGGAGAAGGCTTGCTCCCCAATCATCTCTCTGTACATGGATTTTATTTTTTTGAATCATTTAATGTGTATTCAGCTATCTAGCTTTGACAAATGACCGGTGCTATGTATACATGATGGATGGCTCTTTTGACGTCAGAGACACTCATGCTCTAGATTTCATTTACAAATACCACTGTGAGATACGCTGGCTGATACAAATAGTCGACCCTATTCCGTGAGTACTCACCAATGGGACTTCTCAAAACCTTTGATGATCCAAGCGTTTTATCGTCATCAAACCACACCAGCGGTGCGAGAGATGTGGTTGTGCTTTGCCGGATTCGCACCAGCGATCTCTTGTCTGAAGTGGGATGTGTCCATGCTATACACAGTCTACTGAGGAGATCAGCCAAGGCCATATACTACCGCACCATCCAACCGCGGCGGTGTTTATATTATCGCTCACCTTCTTGCAACCGAAGCCTTGGCACGCACAAAGCTCATTTTGTAAAGCTTCTTGCCAAATTTCAAGATATCAACCCTTTCGAGATCGTATCCAACGTTAGCATCATCTTGTCTACTTCTTCAAATTTCTCTCACGCCCATTAAAAAGACCTGCCTCCCATATTTATTCACCACAATCTGTCACCTCCGGCGTGTAATTTTATTCTTGTTGGCATGTGTTTAGAAGCCATTTGAGGCCAGAGACTGGTTTGACGAAAGTTACAGCTATTGAAATAAGGATGTACTCAGTCATATCTGTATCTTTGATAAGGCTTAGGTAGGAGTTGAACTTATTGGGAGTAAAAATTTGACGTGGTGGAGTAATTTGAATCGTTGCCTGGTGGGCCAATGTCTTGAGTATTGCGAGATTCGGCTGAGCTTGGCTCCGGGAGGATATTTCACCCTCAGATTCGCAGAGAAAACCGCGTATAGGTGTTCAGTGATGTCCTAGATGGATTTGATTGAAAACTTTTCATGGTGAAGTGTTGTTTGTTTCAGGTGTTCAAGGGGATAAGCCATGCCGTCAATTATCCACATACAGGTCGGGAAAAATGTCACGCTTAAATGTGGATAGAAATAAAGTAGAAGATCAAGCTAATGGCATTTATCGATTGGAAGATCCCAGATTAGTGCTAGGCTTTGCCAAATTATACCGAGTTTGTGTTGGAAATCTAGACTTTATATGTTTATAGGTTTAGATTTCTAGGTATGATCATCAAGATCAATTGAATTGATTCGATTCCATATGATTAAGCCTAGATGGGGAACAAGAGGTTCAGTGGTTTCTTAAATGCAGTGGCTAGGAAATGCTACCCTGCGATAATTGAGTGGCTGGTTGTTGCTAGATAACTTGGAGTTTGGGATCACTAAAGCCTCGAGGATCTGCATTTATGTATAGACTCATCTGTACATGTTAAATTAAGTTAACGGAATGGGAAGGGGCACCAATGGAGGAATAAAAATGGCCATACTCGAAGGTCAGTAATCGCGAGCCTGCCGACAGAGGCTCTTCAACGCGAGGTGATACGAAACGGCATTGTACTCAACTCAACGCTATACACGGCCTAGCTCTGGTCACCCCGGGCACAAGTCAAGCAGTGCTTTAACCGCAGTCAATGGGGGCATTCTCAAGCCTCGTGCAATAGGGCGAAAAGATGTGGTGAGTGCCCGAAGAATTCGGTGTTGTGCTGCAACTGCGGTAAAGCCCACATGTAGTGGCAGAAGGGGGCGTGTTCGAACTTCGCGTCCTACAAGGCTAGTGTCCAAAGGGCACGATATGGACTACTGGAGATAACGGCGGAATTAAGGAGAGAGGAGATTGTATCAGCGGCAAGTATACAGACAACAGCGGCAAACCCAACAGATAACCAACGGTTCACACTTGTGTCCCACTAAAAGCCAGAGGTTTTCAAGAGAGGGCCAGGACGCCCGCGCAAACAGCTCCTGGTCAATCCACCACCTCAAATATTTGCGCCATCGGGGTCAAACTCAAGACCACAGTCATCACTTTTCAGCACGCGAGCGCAGGGAAAGGATGGCGAGGTCGTATACAATTTTAGCTAGTCCTGTCTCGGGCTAAAGGCCAATTGCACTTCCTGTAGGTAACGAAGGACAACAGATATATAAAAGTTAATAGGGGAAGGGGGTTTTTATCGTTATGGTTTCCCCCTCATATAAATATATAGATAGGTTCATGGCCACCTGCATGGGCCCACAGGGCGCCAAATGGGGTTAAATGAAATAAAAAAAAGTTAACGGAATAATATATATCATTAATTCAGATTGAGATCGATATCCTACACAATTATCAATAAATTCTTGTCCGAAATTGTACACTTGTTCTTCGACATATTTCCTCTTAGAAATCCTTGACAATTTCTAACAATTGCTAATGGTGTTTTCGTCGGAGCCTTGGAGAAAGCCAAAGGATTTTGTGGTCAAATAGACGATACCTCGTATTCATAGAAAATGGAGCCAAGTATATTCTTAAGCTCTATCTTGCACATTCGTAGTTTGGAGGAAGAAGACACTCGATACTCACACCTTTTCTTATCTAAATTTACCTCTCGTTTTACACATTCTAACCCTTAAGGAACCCAAGATTACCTGACTGACAAGACTTGCCTAGGCCCGATCTCGCTGGTTTGTCTGCCACAGTCTAGGTATGAGCACTTGGCCAAACTTATGGCCAGAGTTGCTTTAATTTCAATCTATGGTAAACTGCAGATTGAAGAGGATATTAATAGCCAGTTTATACAC